GGAGCTCCACCGAAGGCCCCAGTGGGGGTGTCCACATGCGGTTCCCCCACCCAGGGCAGCGTTTCGTGGCCCCAGGGGAGCTCCACCGAAGGCCCCAGTGGGGGTGTCCGCATGCGGTTCCCCCACCCAGGGCAGCGTTTCGTGGCCCCATAGGGAGCTCCACCGAAGGCCCCAGTGGGGGTGTTCGCATGCGGTTCCCCCACCCAGGGCAGCGTTTCGTAGCCCCATAGGGAGCTCCACCGAAGGCCCCAGTGGGGGTGTTCGCATGCGGTTCCCCCACCCAGGGCAGCGTTTCGTCCAGAGGGCTCCACGAATGGCCCCATGTGGAGGTGTCCACATGCGGTTCCCCACCCAGGGCAGCGTTTCGTAGCCCCAGAGGGAGCTCCACCGAAGGCCCCAGTGGGGGTGTTCGCATGCGGTTCCCCCACCCAGGGCAGCGTTTCGTAGCCCCATAGGGAGCTCCACCGAAGGCCCAGTGGGGGTGTTCGCATGCGGTTCCCCCACCCAGGGCAGCGTTTCGTGGCCCCATAGGGAGCTCCACCGAAGGCCCCAGTGGGGGTGTCCACATGCGGTTCCCCCACCCAGGGCAGCGTTCGTGGCCCCATAGGGAGCTCCACCGAAGGCCCCAGTGGGGGTGTCCACATGCGGTTCCCCACCCAGGGCAGCGTTTCGTGGCCCCATAGGGAGCTCCACCGAAGGCCCCAGTGGGGGTGTCCACATGCGGTTCCCCCACCCAGGGCAGCGTTTCGTGGCCCCAGAGGGAGCTCCACCGAAGGCCCCAGTGGGGGTGTCCGCATGCGGTTCCCCACCCAGGGCAGCGTTTCGTAGCCCCAGAGGGAGCTCCACCGAAGGCCCCAGAGGGGGTGTCCACATGCGGTTCCCCCACCCAGGGCAGCGTTTCGTAGACCCATAGGGAGCTCCACCGAAGGCCCCAGTGGGGGTGTCCACATGCGGTTCCCCCACGGGCAGCGTTTCGTAGCCCCAGAGGGAGCTCCACCGAAGGCCCCAGTGGGGGTGTCCACATGCGGTTCCCCCACCCAGGGCAGCGTTTCGTAGCCCCAGAGGGAGCTCCACCGAAGGCCCCAGTGGGGGTGTCCACATGCGGTTCCCCCACCCAGGGCAGCGTTTCGTAGCCCCATAGGGAGCTCCACCGAAGGCCCCAGTGGGGGTGTCCACATGCGGTTCCCCCACCCAGGGCAGCGTTTCGTAGCCCCAGAGGGAGCTCCACCGTAGGCCCCAGGGCAGCGTTTCGTGGCCCCACAGGGAGCTCCACCGAAGGCCCCAGTGGGGCTGCCTGCATGCGGTTCCCCCACCCAGGGCAGCGTTTCGTAGCCCCATAGGGAGCTCCACCGAAGGCCCCAGTGGGGGTGTTCGCATGCGTCTCCACTACCCAGAGGTAGCGCCGCCGAAAACGATATTCACACTTGCGGTATTCACAGTTACATATGGTTGGGTCCTTCGCCAGGCTAATTGGGCTAAAGGGATATTGGACTATAGAGCTATTGGGCTGTATGGCGTATAAGGCTATGGGGCTACAGGGCCATGGGGCTGTGATAATATAGCGCTGTACGACTATATAGCTATACGGCTACTAGACCTATAAGGCTACATAGCAATAAGGCTATACGGCTAGAAGGCTATAGGGCTATAGTGCTATTGTAATATTGGGCTATATGGCTGTAGGGTTATGACGGCTACAAGGCTACATACTTAGTAGAGATATCGTGCTATAGGGCTGTAGGGCTATAGGCCCATAGGACTGTAAGGCTTTAGAGCTATAAGGCGATAAGGGGTATAGGGGTATAGGGCTATACCACTATAGAGCTATTAGGGCTATATGGGCTATAGGACTATAGAGCTGTAGGGCTATAGAACTATAGGGCTATAAAATTATAGGGGCACCCGGGCACCTGGGCACCCGGGCACTCGGGCACCCCCACGCACCTCTGGGCACCCCCGCACCCGGGCACCTGGGCACCCCCGGGCACCAGGGCACCCGGGTCTGGCCACCGAAATCGGCGACGTAGATTTGAATCCGCTAGGACCCCATACAGAGGCAAGTTCTGACTGGGGAACGTCTACGAAACGCATCCGGAGCGTTTTGGAAACGGTTGTAAAGCGTCTACGAAACGTTTTTTGTACAACGTCGATGAAACATACACAAACAAGATCACGACATGTATACGGCATGTACATACAACGCTGAAGGAACGTATATGAAACGTATTTCGTATGGCACGCATGTGACATGTATAGAACGGGCACACACCGGACACAACACGTACATGATATTTCGATGGCGCGACCATGACATTGTATTACACGAACACGAAACGTACACAAGTCGTATATGCAGCGTGTCTGAACATCATATGGGGCGTACATGACGCGTATATACAACGTATGCAACCTATGCGAAACGTACATGACACGTATAGGCAATGACCTACGAGCCGTATACACAACGTATGGTGCACGTATGCGGAACAAGCGTATATCC